AAGGAAAGCTCAAAGATGACAATATCTATTAGCCGTAGGTTTGGACTAGCTTGCTAAGGAAAGCTCAAAAATGACAATATCTACTCGCTGTAGGTTTGGACTACTACAGTTTAATAAGAATTTTTTAGGGTGATCTTATCAACTAAAGACGATTTAATAACTTTTCGATAATCAACAATGGTTCTCTTTAACTCTAAAAGTAGATTAAAAGTAACCGATACTCATTGTGTAATGTTGTTCTCTACTGTTAGCTAGCAATTTAGGATGACTTCTTGGAACATTATGAAATTGAAGAGTAACCATCATCTTTTTTGGTAGGTGATCACCGTGGGGTTCGTTAAGGGTGGTCAAGCAGGAAACGTGATCCCGGAAACTGTAACATTTGGTGGTACGTTCCGAAGCATGACTGTGGAAGGATTGTCCTACCTCCAGCAAAGAATTAAAGAGGTACCCTCCCACTTAAGTTCCTAAATAGAATTGAGTTCTTTATGAATCAATGGACTTTTCATCGACATTGAACAATAAAAGGAAAAAAGAATGAGTGAGTTTAGGAATTATGATGCAAGAAACTGTGTTGGCTTACGGGGATGATCCCACCAGGTCATAGAGTTTCAATCAGCCGTGCATCAGTGCAATGCCACCGTCGACTTCATGGAAGAAAAGTCGAGGGCGTACCCTGCAACTGTCAACGATGAAGCATTGTACAGCCACGCAAAGAAGGTGGGAGAACATTTGCTCGGAGGGGAATCAAATGTGCGTCTTCTTCCGATGTTTATGGCAGCCGAGGACTTCAGCTTCTACGCTCAGAAGATGCCTGCTGCGTTCTTCATGATCGGAGCAAAGAATGAATCGATGAAATCTGGGATTCAACTGCACTCGCCATACATTGTGCTAGATGAGAAAGTTCTTCCAGTTGGATCTGCTCTTCATGCTGCCGTTGCAATTTCTTATCTGGATGGCCAATCTGTGCGCAGTAATTAGGGAACTTCAGTCGAAGTTGTTTGCCCATTTGTCTGGCACTGTTGTACTAATGGGGGCTTTGACAGAGTAATGCATCGCCTTGTAGATGAATTTATATTCCTCGTCTGAAATTTGGATTTGCTATAAATAAATCATGAGGCTCTATGAGCCGGGCTCAGATAGTAGCAGAAAGATGCATGGTTCGGGTAACAAAGCATTCCTTATAAAGGTGTAAAAACCTTTTCTTAGCATACGCCTTCTAAAACCTTAAAAGAGAATCCCGAAGCAAAAGTCTAAAAAAGACAATACTTATTAACAATGGAACTTATACCGTTACTGTAACAAACAAAACTGATTCTTTTTCAAAAAGCAAAAATGCAAAATCCCCCAGCAATTCAACTAACCAAATTGTACGAAGTCAATTCATTCGTCCTACGAAACTACAGAGAGTCAGACTAGGGCTAGAGCAACCATTCTCTGACTAGGGCTAGAGCAACTATTCTCTCTGAGGTCAAGTAGGTGAAGCGTCTAGCTTAGGGGACGCGTCACTTTTGTAAATAACATAGGTCATCAATTACAAATTGTCACTTTTGTAAATAACATAGGTCATCAATTACAAATTGTTTCTGGAAAGGGTTCAAATATTTTAACGACGAGATGAGTATTATTCTATATTGATAAGAAAAAAATTCGATTGAGGAACTTTTCTTATATCCAAAACAAATTACAAAATTTTAATTATGCATCTAATAGATTTTTATTATTACATTTATCTAAGTTATGGAAGATCCTTAAAGTTTAAGGACTATATTAGATATTTGGAAGTGAAAACCACGATGAGATTTCAAACAAAACCATGAGACTAACGGACAATTGCTGCGAAAAGAAAGATTACTATCACAATATGGCAACCAGAAAACTAAGAAATACATGGAAAAATGTCTGAATATCAGTTTAACTGCGGCTAATTAGATACTTAACAAATAAGAAGCAAACTTAAAATACTATAAAAAATCAATCTGTTTGTCTAATTTCATCGAATTTTAAAGATTCCTGCAAGCTGACCTTTTTTCCTGTAGCCTTTTACGTCTCTGGCATAAAGCAAATTGCTGAAACATGTCTGAACCACACTTTTTATGCACATCTACATGGGTTGTTCATTCCCTTTTCAGCTAATTTCTTTTGATAAACGACCGAGCGTGAAGTTTTATGAGCAATCATTCATCAGTTTTCTCCTCAGGAGGTCCTCTCGCTATCGGAATTCCACCACGAAAATTGGACGTCGGTTTTGCATAGTCCACGAAAATAACCCTTCCGTTCAAAGACTGCAACGAATAACGATAAGACTTAGATTTCTAAGATTAAAAGTAATGAAATAGAGAAAAGTGCAGACCTTTCCGTTCATCTCGGTCAGAGCTGTATGAGCTTCGTCTTCAGATGCAAAGGTGACGAATCCGAATCCCTTTGACTTATCAGATACTCTGTCCATCACAACTTTAGCTGGAATTGAGAAAGTTGTGTTATGCTCCATGAAACTAAATTGCCATGGTTAGACATGAAAGCTGAAGTATTTGAATGGAATTCACCTTCAACAACCTGACCATATTGAGAAAAGGCTTCCGACAGTCCTTTGTCCGAGGTGTAAAATGAAAGTCCTATAGCAAAATATTCAAGAAAGAGGATTTCCATATGGAATAAGGAGTTGTAATAAGTAGACTGATAAAAAGTCAATAGCAAAAATTTCAAGGGCATTGGTATAGACAAATGATTCTATTCCTTCTCACAATAATAGGAAACAATTCTATTAATCTATGTGTAACAGCCTAACCCTACCGCTAGCAGATATTGTCTTATTTGAACCTTTTCTTTCGGACTTCCCATCAAAGTTTTTAAAACGCATCTGCTAGGGAGGTCCACACCCTTACAAAAGATGTTTCATTCTCCTCCCCAACAGATGTGGGATCTCACACCATGTGACATGTGAGAATCTTCCCGAATGGGAAAGAAACTTGAGATCAAAAGTTAACAATGAAAGGGGGATAAATATTGGGTAAGTTCCTTGAAAATCCAGAAATCCCACTACAAAACAAGTTGATGTGGGCAGTCCGGCAGAACAAGAACACACTAACCGTTTACCACGATCAAGGTTAAGCTTAAGCTGTATGTACATTCTTGGTCTCTCTAGGTGTAGATCACCCATAAATGATATCCACAACAGATTATTTTGAACTTAAAGAACCTTATACGTCCTAGATTTGTAAAAGCTGCATATGCATTCTTGGACACTAGGTTATCTTCTTATGAGAATTTAAGAAAGCTTCTACTTCTAGCGCTTTACGGTGCTGCGTGGTTGGTTTTGGTGGTCAAGTACAATGAGTAATAGCAATCAAAGTATGTCTTCAATACAATTGCAGATAGATTTAGAGAGTTCAGGCTCATGGAAGAAGAGAAGCTGTAATAGTTTATGAAGATTGAAGAAATTGTAGCAAACTCAAAAAAGAATGGAGAAAATTCTAGGACACAAGCATGTGAATGCTGAAGCTTTCAATAAATTATGGAAACAAATTTACAGATTTGAGGAGGAATTAACAATTGAAGCTCGACGAAGAAACAGTGTTCTCTTCCATCTTCAGGACTGAAAAATGGAACGATCTAAGCAAAAGGACCATGGTTCCTTTGGGGAAAAAAAAATGAAATAACAAAAGCAAGGATCATACAAAGAAATACAAACAATTGATTCTAGATGGGTGGTCTGCGCCTACACATATTTGAATTTCCTGGAAAATACTATAGATGAGAAGCCACTAAAAGTCTAGAAGCAATGAAAACTCCCTTCATATCCAATTTCTCCAAAGCTTGGGTCGATAGCTTTAAAATGATCATGAATGCTGTGTGAATTACAGCAAGTGGCAAATCAGTTCGGGCATAATTGCTAAAGATAAATCATATTAAGTATCCGTATTCATAAGATGTCTATCCTTTATAATATATAGAACAGATATCAATTTTGGAATGAGTATCAATATAAAAAGTTTCTCTAGAGTTTTCCACGATCTTGGTTTCCTGAAGTAAATTAATACAGAAATCCACGTTTACCCAGCCATACTTTCAGTAGTAAGATCAAAACAAGTATATTTTACAAACATAACGTACGGACATCACAGAGACATCCGAACAATTCACAGTCTCTCGTGCAAGCTACACAGTTGGTTCAATTCACGGAACAGAGGAACTCGCAGCAAAAATTGCAATTTCAATTATGAAACATAGACTGCAACAGTAGGTGGAAATGATGAACTGAAAAATTAACAGAAGAATAGAGAGAAGGAATGTTGAGCTTACCTCCAACAAAAAGCTTCGAAGCTATGCCTCTGAACGAGATGAGACGAGACGGCGGAGTAAATACAGAGGGAAGAACACAACGATTGGAGGAAATCGCCATCGCTTTTCTGATTGCCGCCATAGTAGTAGTACCAGAGTGAACCTATGCCCTTGTGTCTTCGAGTAAAGAGAGATGAAAAAATGGCGGCCGGAGGTTGGACTGGAGAAGCGACGGCGACGAGTGGTCGTATAAAAGATTCGAAGCCCAATTCTGCCGCATTCTGGGTCGAGCCCAGTGAGGCTGAAATTTACTTGTAACCCGAATCGGCCCTCTTTTCTTAAATCCGAATAATAATTAATTAAAAAATATGAAATTACAAATTTAGGCTTTCTAATATTTTTTTTATTCTTTTATTTTTAAAAAATTTGTAATAAGTCTCTACTTTTAAGGTTTATATATTTGTTTAATTCATTATCTATTAAACATAAATTAAAATTATATTTTAAGAATTGATCGAGTTGGTAATTTTTTTTCATTTATTATTCTTTTAAAAATAGTTACGGTAAACTTTTCATTTTTTAATATAATCTTTATAAAAAAGAAAGGGTAAAAAAAAACATAATAAAATAGTATATTTCATAATATTTGGGCAACATATAAATTACAGATTAACCATAATTGTAATTAACCACAAAAATCACAGTAATATTTAACCAAATTTTCCAAAATCAAACCAAAGCATGAGAAAAGAAATTACAACCGATTCAAGAGGAAACATTTTACAACAAAAACACATAGATTCGACCGGTGAATATCCGGCAGCCGGAGGAGGAGGAGGCGACGGCGATTAGTGAGTGTTTCGGATAGCGAAAGCGGATAACAAGACGAGGAACATAATGAGAAGAACAGCAACGAAGGAGCCGACCACCGCGCCGCTAATATTCTGGCAGAAATCTTCGAACTGGTCACAGATCGCCAGCCAGTTGGTGTTGGAGTTGCCGCTGTGGGCCAGGTACACCATGGCGGCGGCTGCCGCAGCGGCTGACGTGGCAAATGTCAGAGCCACCTGCAAATGTATATCATGTTTATTCCGTTGAAGAAAGAGAAGAGGGAAAAAGAAAGTAGTTGAATGATCGGAGTTTTACGGTGTCGAGAATGAAGAGGACCAAGCGAATTCCGACTGCCGCTGGGCGGACGATACAGACGATGGAGAATGGCACCGAGAGAGCCATGTAGCCCGCGATGATCCCCATCGCTATCAAAAAGAATCTGCATCCCCACATTAACTAATTTAGAAGATCAATCATAAATTTATAAATAAAAAATACCATCTCTATTAAAGTTACGGTAAACAATATCATAATTGTTACGTTATTATTCACTTACTGAAAAGTTGGGAGATCCTCGTAGCTAGCTTCAAATTGGAAGAATTGAGTAAAGAAAGGGAGAGTTTCATCGCTTGTTCCCATGGTCGCAGCGGCCGCCAAGGCAGCACCCAAAGCGCCAAGTCTCAAAACAAAGTCAAACACCCCGAGCCCCCGCTTCATCCCGCCAGCATTTGCTTGCCGGGAAGCGACGGAAGCAGCTGCTTTGCTTTTGCTGCTGCCAGTGGTCAGGGGCACGTCGATGACGGTCGAGTCGTTCGAGTTCTTCATATCAAATGAGCTGGGAAATCAAATAGATAATTTGTTAGATGGTTTGTGTAATGGTGAGAAATGGAAGCTTGGGGCAGCCCTTTAAATATGGAAAGATAAGGGGGTTGGTTGGCAAAAAAAAAAAGTAGAATTATTTTCAAGGAATTATTTGAGGAGTATAATTGAGCAAATTGAAGAAACTTGGGGGAGTTGTTGCAAAGAAAGTTCTTTATTTGTTGAACTTAAAAGTGCCTTTTTTTTCATTTTTTTTTTTCATAAAATAGTTGGTGGAGAATTTTAGATAAGTTATTGTATAAAATTTTAAAATAATATTTTAAGCGCAAAATAACGAATATATCGAGTAATTATTTAAATAGAGGTGTTAATGACGAAATTTAAATTATATAGAGATAATATACAAAGACTAATTACCCTTTAATCAACTAAACCACATAGTTTCCCTAATCCAATCATATTACAACTAACCAGCTCCTCACATGGAAGTTCGTTCAAATGCTTAATAAAAATTTGGGGAAAAAAAATTATATTTCATTCCATCATGTAGTTGATGAAGCCACTAATCTTGCTTAATTTAGGTTATTAAGCTTTAATTTATACATATTTTGCATTTGTCCTATTTTTAATTAATTTTTAGTTATTTTTTTTAATTATTTTTAAGAATTAAATAGTAATACAGAGATAAAAATAATTTTTAACATATTTTTCCATACATTAATATTATATTTAAATAATTATATAAACTGGTTTTATTTGAGTAAGCTGCCGTTGTTGTTGGGCAGGCAAATTAAATGGGCCGGGCTTTTATTTAGCCTGGCCCATTTAAAGCCCAATTAGGAAAACTCTTCATTTCTTCTTCTTCCCCTCTCGCGCGAAAGATTCTGTAATTTGCAGTGTAGCAACGATGTGGGCAAGCGCCGAAGGAGGGCCGCCGGAGGTTACTCTGGAGACTTCCATGGGTTCTTTCACCGTCTAGGTACTCTTTCTCTTCTCGTTTCTTCAATCCATCGGTTTGTTTTAAGATTGAGCTTTACTCCCTCTAGTTGGCAGTCATAGAATTCGATTCTTCTTTTGTGAAAAATGAAACTTGTAAAATCTTACTTTGTTGATGTTTGATCGTAGCTTTACTTCAAACATGCGCCGAGAACATGTAGAAATTTTATTGAACTTTCTCGGCGAGGTTATTACGACAATGTCAAATTTCACCGGATTATTAAGGTTCGTCTCTCCTGATTTAGAGGCAGTTTTTATCTGCAGGTTGATCTTTAGCAGGCGAAAGCAGTCTTTTACTACATTGTTTTTGGTTATTTTGTATAGGATTTTATAGTTCAAAGTGGAGATCCCACAGGGACTGGACGGGGTGGGGAATCTATTTATGGGTATGTATTGTTTCATTTTTCTGTCAATAGTTTTAGTTTTATGAAATTGTTCTTCATTTCATAATGTGGTTCTCTTGCTGATTTCTACTTGAGTTGAATTCCGAGGTCCTTGAGTCTTAATTGCAATGCATTTTCTAATTGTTTTTTGATATGTTAATGTGTTTCAGTAAGAAGTTTGAGGATGAAATAAAACCAGAGTTGAAGCATACCGGAGCTGGTATTCTATCGATGGCAAATGCTGGTCCTGATACAAATGGAAGCCAATTCTTTATCACTCTTGCTCCTTGCCCATCCCTAGATGGTATGCACTCTTTCAAAAGTTATGACAGTCAATCAATGTGCATACCAAGAGGAAACGATATAGAAGTGCTTGCTTCAATTAAGTTAGGAAGAGAAAGAACTGTACATATTTCTTTTTTGTATTTGAGATTCTACATCAACTTAGTTGGAATGTTGTCTCACAGGGGAATCAAAAGACTATGCATTTTCTCCGACTAATTGTTAGAAATCACGAACCTCCGCAATAGTATAGTATATATTATCTACTTTGATCGTTAGCTCTCATGACTTTGCTTTTGGTTTTCCCAGAAGACCTCGTATCAATGAAGATGTATTCGTTACTTATCAATCATGATCATTCCCTTAATTAGCCAATGTGTGACTCCCTCCCAACAATCCTTAACACTAATTTCATGATTCTAGCTGGTTTTAGATGTATGTGTATGATAAGGTAACACAAATAATATACATTTGAAAATGAAAAATCTGAGTTGTGGGTTTCCAGATCATTTTGTAGGTCTTTGGACTTATATTTAAGCTTTTCTAATGGTTCCCTATTTGGATTGGATCATTGGATGCTTTTTCATGAGTTTCTAATTGAAGCTATTTTAACTCCTGAAGTGAAATCAGCGGACTTGCTGCGTGAGCTTATTGAATACTTATATTTCTTCGATCCGTTCTTCTCTATGTGCAGGGAAGCACTCCATCTTTGGAAGAGTTTGTAGGGGAATGGAAATAATCAAAAGGCTTGGCAGCGTACAAACTGATAACAATGATAGGTATGCCTTTTCTTTTGACCATACAAAACTGGGTCCCCGTTGTCTCTAGATCAGTAGAACTTCTTGTCGACCTGCCAACCAAGAAGTTTACATAAAAGGATTTCCATTAGCAAAGGGTTAAGAGGGCTTGTATGACCAAGTTGAATCTTAAAAAGGAGAAATGCACTTAGTCTTTGAAAGAACTACTTCACCAAACATTCCAAATTAGGGGAAGGGCCACTGTAAGAAACGTATTTTGAATCTTCTTTACTGCATTTCTACCTCTCCGCCCATGCCGAACTCGAAAGACCACATAAAGGACGTAACATTTTTAAAAAGTAATAAATAGAGGGGAATTCATAGTTGGAAAAGAATTGGGATGTGAGTAAGAGAGTTATGAGTAGCAGCCCCGGAGGGTCTAAAGAAATAAGGTATTCAATGGTACAATTCAAAGCAAATATGAAAGAGGAAAGGAAGCTAGGTTTCAAACTCTTCATTCTAAGCCTCCTAAGATTCAAGTTAAGAGTTTTGGTATCTTCAACTCAACAATCTAGGAACTCCATCCGCTTAAAGTTAAATAGTTTGTAAAAATTAATCCATCTGAGTACATAAAGAAACTAAAATCCCCTAGGGTTTCTTCCCACGCCATCGTTTTTTATATCTTCGAGGAACCAACCATTTTGATGTTCATCCGATGCCCGTGAACAATGATCCTCTGCCATATAGCTCAGAGTTCATGAAGGAATCTCAAACTCTGCTCTGATATAAGATACAGTTTCCTATTTTTTAGATTAGGAAGTTCAAAACCCCCAAACTTTCCTCCACCTATGCTATTAAGCGGAGATCATTCAACAATTTTAAGTCCCTAGGGATGGTGGGCAGAAGAGCCTATTGCGAAGTCATTTTGCTAGCCTTTAGGATCGCCACCATATTTTATTGTTTCAACAACTTGCTCAAACTTATTCATTTATATCATTCATTTTAACAAAAATATTTTAACTTGTTGAGACAGTAAGGACTTGATTGAAAACTAATAAATAAAAAGTTCCTCATCCTTGTTACTGTATAAGAGTCCATGTGTAATATATAAAGGATGGAATTACAGCTTGATTGCAAAATTTATATCATTGAGGAAGCTGTAATTCGATAAGGAACATATTTTAACCAAGTTGTGGGAATAGTTCCAAACAAGGCCAAGGTTCTTCTGCTAGTTTTAAGTGTTATGAGACAATATTACTATCAGGAGTGAGTACAAGTAACACAATTGTGATTTGTTTTCATACAGACCCATCCATGATGTGAAAATAATACGGGCATCAGTTAAAGACTAAACCATTCGGTTATGAACTTCAACTTTTGACACACTCGTAGCGTATTATCGAACCAATTGAACCAATCGAACCATGTATGAACAGCAATCGAAGCAATGCATTTTTATCATGGAAATGAAGAATTTCCATTGTTTGTTGGTTGAAGACAGAGCAGGGGAAGAGGAACTTCCAATCTCATCATGTAAGTGGTATTCAAAACTCACAACTTAGTATATGACTTATTTTTCTGTGTCTAATATGAGTTCGAGAGTTCCGAACGAATGAACAATGCTTGTTTTTTGGATTCCTCGTGACGAAATTGATGTAGATTACAAAATCAGTATGCTCCTAATAACTACAAAATTTAAGGTTCTTTTATAGTTTCTAAAAAGAGAGAAAGAACAATAATGTTTTGTTATGTCCTTGCCACAAAAATAATTATAAAATAATTTTTCTAAATTTACCATGAAACATTTAAGCCCACCAGAACTAAATAGAATACAAGTTGGAGATTTAAAGGATACTAAAATACTAAAATGATATAAAAATAAAAATATATTAACCCGCTTAAAATTAAAGCGTAGAACTTCAAAACAATCCAAATATACAGTCCCCAAGCAACCAGGACGTCAAAAACTCAAAAAAAATCTGATGAAATTTCATAGTTCGAGGAAAAAATTTAAAAAAACTGATGATCGATCGATAATCGAACGGGGAAGAAGCATCCCAAACGAATACACAGAATGCCTTCCACTTTCATCCCTCCAAAAATAATGGATTGTGGAAACAAAACAACGTCGAAGCGAAAATCAAAACCAAAATCAAAATTAACGAAACCTAATTCAATCAACAAAACCTGTTCTGTGCCATACCGCATTTCTGACTTGACGAAGATCTCTCCCTTTCAGAGTTCTTCCAACGCCTTCCAGCATTGAAAATGTCGTGTTCGGCATCACGCCGACGCCTCTCGCCACGATCTCATGCGGCGGCAGCATCTCTTCATCCTCCTCCTCCTCCGCCGCACGAATCTCGTCATTATTCCTCTGTTTCCTCATCGCCTTCGGCACGTTAATCGGAGCTGATTGCTGAAACTTCCTAGACGGCATCGATTGAGAATATTCTTTACTGCTCTGAATCGGCTTCGGAATCCATCGCGACGATGAGGAGGATATAGCCATAGCCATTGTAGTCTCCCGAGTGACAATCGTACCGATTCTCTGTTTGCTATTAAAATCGGCATCATCTGATAAGGCAGCGAGGATACCGGAGTTTGGAGGGTCGAAACTCGAGGTGCGATCTTCGGTAGATATTTTTCTCGTGCGAAACGGACGGTTATTGGATTGCGCGAAATCAGAGGTCCAGAAGACCTCTGATTCGTTGAACTCATCAGAGCTGGCGACAACAGAGGGCGATAACGGCGGCGGGGAAGAGAAGAGATCGAGGTAGTGATGGCTAGGAGAAGAGGAATGCCGGAGAGTAAAGGCACTAGCGGCGGCGGGCGAAGAGTCCATTTGTGTATTTGCAAAAAGGAAACGCGGCGGATCGACGGTAAAGTGGAGAATAATAAGAAAGAGAAGGAAAATTGGGAAAGTGAAAATTTGCACCGAAAGTTCGTCACATGGTGGGGGGCAGGCTGACGTGGCGGTGCCCGTCGGTTTCCTCGTTGTGCTTTTCTGACGTACTGCAACCTACAAATGTCAAACCACCGTCTTTATAAGGTCTTTGCTGGACTTGGACTTTTCTGAAAAAAATAAAATTAATTTTTACCCCTAAACTTCCATAATAGGACTATTTTATCCCTACATTTTCATTTATTATCAAATCACACCATAAATTTTCAACATTATCAAATTACACCCTAAATTTTAAAAGGTAAATGACAAGGAAGTTGAACTTTGTGCACCAATAGAAATTAAATTTTTGTCCTTTCATTATTTAAATTTCATCCTTTTCAAAATTAGTTTGTAAATTAATAACTTTTCGAAATTTATAAATATGTCCATATATGTCTTTTCTTAAATAGAACTTACAAATATTACTTTATAAGTATTATTTAATAAATTTTTTAATTAGTAATAAATTACAAATTAATTTGTTTAATTACGATTATAATTGTTTGCTATTTTTATTGTATTTGCTGGATAAGCAGTAGATGGACACCACATAGTCACGTGTAGAAATAGAAAATTTTCATTTAAAATTAGATTTTATTGGTGGAATATTATTAGAGGATCTTACTAATTTTTCCTTCAAATTATGGACTAATATGACATATGGTTTTCTTGGATATAACCACACGATGCACCCTCTAAAATTTTATTTCTTAACCTCTTAAGAATAAAATATTTTGGTCGAAAGATCTAAGACTCGATTTAACCTCTTATTTGAGAGGGTATAGATTCAAAATTCTACCATTATTAATACTTAAATTTTTTAATTATAACCAACGTGTTAAATTGATAGTCTACTCAGCTAGATTTAAGCCATTGAATGATTTGGTCGTGCTAGATTTGAAAAGGATTGGTTCAAATCCCATACTTATTCAGTTTTTACAATAAATATAGTCTTTTGTGTCATATCCATATTTTATTTTCTGATTTCTTCTTTTTTATAATATAAACTTTCTTGAAAGATTCTTTAAACAATCAGACAGTTTGGCCGAGTGGTCTAAGGCGCCAGATTTAGGCTCTGGTCCGAAAGGGCGTGGGTTCAAATCCCACAGCTGTCAAATTGGTTTTCCTTAAAATACTTTATTAATTTTTTCGTTAAAATAAACATATTATTTCTCTTAATTTTCATTGACCAGTCGGACAGTTTGGCCGAGTGGTCGAAGGCGCCAGATTTAGGCTCTGGTCCGAAAGGGCGTGGGTTCAAATCCCACAGCTGTCAAGTTCGTTTTCCTTAAAATACTTATGAATTTTTTTGTTAAAGAAATATATAATTTCTCTTAATTTTCATTGAACAGCTGGACAGTTTGGCCGAGTGGTCTAAGGCGCCAGATTTAGGCTCTGGTCCGAAAGGGCGTGGGTTCAAATCCCACAGCTGTCAAATAAGTTTTCCTTTTAATACTTATTAATTATTTTCGACGAGAGGGCGTGGGTTCAAATTCGATAGCTGTCCATTTTTTTACTTTATTTTTCAATATATAAAACCAACGCTGTCGTATCCGTTCACTGAATGAATTTCCCTTTTTACCCATTCCAAAAATTAATATCGAGAGAAAAATTTATTTTTCTTCCGGTCGAAAATGGTCGGAATTTTCAGAAACAAATCCGGCGGCTGCTTCCTCTCTCGGATCCTCAACTCGCCGGGTTTCTCCTTCCATGTTAGCTCGTGGAGATCTCTGCAAAACCTCGCCTACGAAGAGGTTCGTGCTTCCTCGGATAAACCTTATGATTCCACCGCTTTCATTCTTCACGGTCTCTTGGGATCGGGAAGAAACTGGAGGTCTTTCTCCCGCAATCTCCTCTCGAGGCTTTCCAATTCCTCTTCAACCGGTATGTTTTTCGTCAAAAAGTAAAAATAAAACTCTTTAATCTTCGAGTATACTATGATTATTTGGGGAAATCTAGACTAATTAGACGGACGAGTGTTTGGTTGCGTTGATTGTGGTTAAATAGAATGGAGATTGGTGCTTGTGGATTTAAGGAACCATGGGAGATCGGCTGAATCGGAAGGTTTTGATCCTCCTCATGATATGGTTAATGCTGCCAAGGATTTGGCGAAATTAGTCGAGTCTCAAGGCTGGGCGTGGCCGGATGTTGTTATGGGTCATTCCATGGGTGGGAAGGTCGCGCTTCAGTTCGCGCAGAGCTGTAATCGTGGTGATTATGGAGATTCAGCTTCTCTGCCCAAGCAGGTCTGTTTAAGCATCTTGTTTTTAACCCTGATTTTTTGCATTGGGTAGAAGATTCATACAGGAGACTGAACAATCTAGCTGTCTATTTTTCGAACTAAGCTGAAATCTACATGAATTTCAATAAATTTTATATGATTCATGAAGAAATAGGACTTACTAAAGGGATTTGTTTGTGATTTGGTTAAGGAATTCTCAGAAAATAGTAACAATGCATGTAATTAGCTCTTGACCGTAGTTTGTGGATATGAATGAACTGCATTCGTTTGCTTGGTTTTCTGTTGAACTAGAATATTTCTTTGTCACTTGCCAAATTCTGTAAGGATTATATGTCTTATAGATTCATGCTTGGAAATTTTTCGATTGATTTTAGCATCTGATGATGGAATTGGCTATGATGATATTGTCTCATACTATTAAAGTAATCAACTGCATTTTCCCATCCTTCCTTGATGCCGAGCAGCTATGGGTGCTTGATTCCATCCCTGGAAATGTGGACCCTGAAAACAGCGATGGCGAAGTCGAGAAAGTTTTGAAGACATTGCAGGGTTTACCTTCGTCGGTACCGTCGAGGAAGTAAAACTTCTTTATCCCTTTCTGTATATTGTTTCTTCCCCTTGAGCCCAACATCCAATCTCTAGCTGCTGATTGAAATATGCCCGTAGGTTTCATATTTTGCTCCATTGATGTATTTCCTTCAAGTGCTCTTGTTCATGTAGTTCAATGGTAAGGTTTTTTTGTTGGTCAGGTGGCTTGTTAATCATATGATTGAACTGGGTTTCTCAAGATCATTATCAGAATGGATAGGCAGTAATCTGAAGAAATCTGGGGATCATGAGACATGGAGTTTCAATCTTGAAGGAGCTGTGCAGATGTTCAATTCTTTCAGGTATCACTTCTTTAGAAAGATGATCAGAATGAAACTGTCACCATTTGATTTGTTGTTGATTGATGTGGTGAATTTGATCAGGGAGACATCATATTGGTCTCTCTTGGAGCATCCACCAAAAGACATGGAGATCGCTATTGTTCGGGCCGAGAATAGTGATCGATGGAGTCCTGAAGTTGTTCGGCAACTTGGACGTCTCTCCAGCAAGGGATTAGAGGAATCTAAAGGACAAGTTTCTGTTCATGTTCTTCCCAATTCTGGCCACTGGGTTCATGTGGATAATCCAAAGGGACTCCTTGACATTGTTGCTCCAAAATTTTCATCCCTTTGAAACTACTCCGTTTAAGAGTCATTAGTTCTTCATTGTCAAATAAACTAAACATTTATTTAGATCATAAATTCTACCCCATAAATTATCATCAAATTCTGATGAGCATTTAGACATAGATAAGTTCAACAACAGGAACTTGATACCTGAAAGAATTGAAATCTGATATCTGTTGCTTCAGTTTCTTCATGTCTTGTTCAATCACCTGTGTGTTTCCCCATGTTGCTTGATATCTCAAATTTCAATTTGTTTTTCATAATCATTTCTATGTTCTACTTTTTATGGTTTAATTTTAATGAATGAAAAATACTCAGTAATTTTAATGTTCTTTTAAGGTTCTTATAAAAAATATATAATATTGTATAGGTTACGGTAACAATTTAAGCTCACGCTAACAGTTATTATCCACTTTGGTCTATTATGTATTGCCGTCAGTCTCACGATTTTAAAATGTGTCTGTAGGAGTTCTAGCATCCTCGATAATACATCGCCCGATGTTTGTAGGAGTTCAAGTCCGTCCTCTTTGAGTTTTTCTTTATTAGTTAATCAAAAAAAATTTATGATTGTTTGTTTAGGGATGTTTAATTAAGGTCAAGGTGTATGTATACTAAACAAAAAAGAGTTCATAAATTAAAGAGAAAATAAACTAAATATAAATATAATATAAAATAAAAATATTTGGGGTTGATTCATAATTTGGGTAAGCTCAAAGGGCGATTAGGTTATTTTACCATCACCCTCATCCAGAAAAACCCTAACTATATAATAAAACATCCTCTTCCTTTGGAGCTCCAGTACGTCGAAGGTTGAAGATTCAGGCGAAGTCTTGAAAAGCCCTATTTTTCCTTTGCAGAGTTCGGATTCTTACTCGTCAAACATGGTATTTCATCATTCTCTTCATCCTTTTTTTTTTTTTTGTTCTATTCTGATTTTGGCATCCAATCGTCGAAAATTTTAGTTTCAGTCACCGGCGGATTATAGTAGCTAGATAGAATGAAAATGTTGGAAAGTAGTGAGGAAAAATTGTATACCTCTGTTTAGTTTTCGCGTGACAAATTCGAGGCAGCGGCGTTCCTTCCAGTTTGCCTTTTGAACTCGAAATTTGAAGTACTACTGTCTTTTAAAGGTTATCTGATGGGTTACTCCTTTTGTGATGTGTATTATGTAGTCGAGAAGGAAGACTAGAGAGCCTAAGGAGGAAACTGTCACTCTTGGCCCTGCTGTTCGTGAAGGAGAGCACGTTTTTGGCGTCGCCCACATTTTTGCTTCATTTAACGACACATTTATTGTGAGTGATCTTTAAATGATTTTCATTTTAGTATTTAGTTCATTATTTGTGTAATCGATTGATTGTTCTTTGATTGAATTGCAGCATGTGACCGATCTGTCTGGTCGAGAAACGCTTGTTCGTATCACTGGTACGAAATCTCTTCTGCTGAATCTTAAAATTAATCTGCCATTGCTTGCTTTTGTCCTGCGTTTTGAGTGATTCCACTGGTTACTTTCATCGTCATATTCATTGGTTCTTTGTTCAGGTGGTATGAAGGTGAAAGCCGATAGAGATGAATCATCGCCTTATGCTGCCATGCTTGCTGCACAGGACGTTTCTCAAAGATGCAAGGTTTGCTCACTAATTGTATTTATGTTGATTTTAATCTGAATGTTCTTAATCCAAATGTGGAAAACTGCTATGTAATTGTCTTGAGTTCTGCAGTTGTATGAAGTGACATGCTCTTGAAATAACTGGCTTGTAGTATTGTGTTTTTCCTTATTTGCAACTACATTTTTTATTATCTCTCTGATCGCTGAGTATTTCCTATAGGAACTTGGTATTACTGCTTTGCATATAAAACTCAGAGCAACCGGTGGAAACAAAACTAAGACTCCTGGGCCTGGCGCTCAATCAGCTCTTAGAGCCCTTGCTCGTTCAGGCATGAGAGTTGGTCGTATAGGTACGATCATATTCATTCTTTATTCATGGTTGTTAGTTTTTCTTATATGAATTTGAAGCAATTAGGCCTCATATGATAACTATTTGATTTTTGATAATTGTGCTTGTTTTTCATCATATCTCTACTATCGGTTTCATTTTTCTTAAATAAACATTTGAATTCTTAGGCAAATTCCAAAAACAAAAACAAGTTTTTGATAACTACATTTTTTTTGTTTTTAAAACCTGGCTTAATTTTTTAAAGCAACATATGTAAGAAGTATATGACTAAACAAGTAAACTATCGGTGACTGGTTATAATGGGTGCCTTTATTTTCACCTAAAATGGATACAAGAGAGCTAAATAAGCCAATGGGGTTATAGGAAAAACTTCTCCAATCATAATTTAATTGATTACTAGTTGCCAAGGTACTCTGTGTCCAAATGTATCTGATGTTCCGTACTGGAGGTTTAATATTCCCAAGCCTATTCCCACTACATAACAATTCTAGCATTTATTATTCCTTACGATCATGCATAGAGTTGTAGTAGTGTATGAAATTATGTTCAACTTCAGTTTTCAACAAATCTTTTAATGTTCATCAAGTACCGTAGATTATCTTATGGAGTTTTGAAGTTCATTATCTTTTGAACCAACTGCCGTGCATCATCAATTATTGTGTATTGTGTTCATATGATTTATTCCATTTTTCCTTCCAGAGGACGTTACTCCGATCCCGACGGACAGTACTCGAAGAAAGGGTGGTAGGAGAGGAAGAAGGTTGTAATTGCAAAAACCTCCCAAATGGTCAAGTACTCGAAGAAGGTTGTCTTCTAAATTCGCAACCCTAATGATCTGGTCATTGGTTCTTTCAACATTTTCCCATTTTGATTCGTGGAAAACCTTCGAAGACAACGAGTATAGTTCACTTTTTGCTGTTTTCATTATCAATTTGATGATCTCAATATGACTTGTTTCGTATAAACACAGTACTCCAAGTCAATTTTCAATCCTTTTTCTCCCTCCAATTCATTGCTTTATCAATACTTGGTGATTTTGATTGATGTATGATCTTATAATTTTCAAGTATGTAACAAGCAGGAACAAGAAGATTATCATTTTCATATTTTTATCAGGTTATGATTTTAGGACCCTGAATTTTTGCCCTCATCTCAAACCTTGAAATTTCAACTTATTTAGATTTCATTGGGTTTATTTTGTTATGGGTTTTTCAATTTGATTCAAGATCTATGAAAGTCATTGTCACTGACTTCTTCCAATTTTATCAAAATCTTTTCGAGTAGGACTTCATCCATAACATGAACGGCAAATCAAGATATTGATATGGGTTTATTAATAGAAAGGACGGGAGATGGGAGTATTTTCTCTTTGTCGTAGAGACAAAGGTTTTCTTGTCTACGTCCTTGATCTATTTTCTATCGTTTTTATATATAATTTAAATAGGTCATAATATATTTTAAAATAAGAAGCTTCTTTAATATATAATTACAGTTATGAATTGCTCTTATTTAAAAATAAAACATTGAAGGTATTTGCAGCTATATTCAATAATACAATATTGTAATTTAGATATGTTCACTTTTGTACTGAAAAAATATTATAATATATATATATTATATAGAAGAAGTTTTTGGTTTAGGGTCATATTTAGGTTCACAAAAAAAAAGTCATAAATATTTGGCAAAAATAGTCATATATTTCACATTGTTCTTTTCTAAAAATAAAAAATGGCATAGTCGGGTCGAATAAGGGATCCGACGCTAAAGATCCGAACCGTTCAATTTCGTTGAAACGAAACCCTAGAAAATTCTCTATAAAACCAAGCGAAGGCTGTTCCTAAGGCTACAATATCGAGGCTGGGATCCTAAGGCAGCATTCGTTCTCTTCATTTCTCATTTTAATCGCTGAAATGTCAATGGAAAGCAGATAGAAGATTGTCCAATGCTTGCGCATAAGAACATTCAAGAAATTCCAACTCTCATTCATCTTTGATTCGTACTCTTTTCACTTTGAACCGTAAGTTTTATGCATGTTCTTGAACGATTTTGTTTTGTTTGTTCCGTGTTATTGTTGTTTCGGAGGAGCTATCATCTGATTTTCCTTATTTCCTTAACGTACACTGAATGAACCGTGAGTTTTAATCTAGAGCAGCTCGAAAGAAGGGCACAACTCGCATCCTCTTCTATTGTTATTGTGTAGAAGAAGATATGTTTGTTCCCAATACTAATTTCCATTCGACTTTGTCAACTGAAATCATTTACTTGCAGTTGATTTTCAATGAATGGAACATCTGCGTTTGCTCCTGTTTCCAATACTCATAAACTGTGTTTCCTTTTCGAGATTATCTTGTTTTACGCGGTCATGTTCAAATGGGACATAGTTGAACCTTATATTGCAAGTAAATGCAACATTTGGCATCGAGTTCCCAACAGCGATACCACGAATGCTTTAACTATCTGTCATCTGGTAAATTTTGACAGATGATATTTCTTGGTACATCCGGATTGTCTTGTTTTTACCGGCTTTAGTTGCTTACCCTCTCACTTAATTCTTGATAATAAAGAAGGTATACGTTAGAATGATTTCCCCCTGACTTATTTGATTTTATAATCCACTAATTTTTCATGGATGTTTCGGAGTGTCTTTGTTTCTTTATATCTTCTATCCGATTGAATCATGTCTTTATTTCTATATATCTTCTATCCGATTGAATCATGTCTTTATTTCTATATATCTTCTATCCGATTGAATTAGATGGTTTGCATGTCTTCATCCAAGGTCTGTGATTTTCAGAAGGAGGAGGGTCAGGTTCATACTAGTGGCTGTGAGGCCATTTTAAATATCGTCTGCTGATATATATATATATATGTGTGTGTGTGTGTTTGTTTATGTATGTGTATCTAAATAGTTGTATTTTGAAGTTTAGTTTATCTTACTGTTCCCCCTTTCCCCTGGCCTATTTTAGTGGTATTGATTGAGCTTTTATCCTTTGTACAATCTCTGTAGAGACGTTTGAAATAAAGCAACCTTATATAAGTTGGTGTTTAATTTGTTATGGAAGATGTCAACTCTAAATTTGTTTGTAACACCGCGCAGAATTGTACTATCCCACTCGAAATTTTGAATTAGAGAACACTTGACACCATGTTGTAGTCTGGACGTATATGCGAAATGGTTGTCAGATCTATATCATTTAATATGAAACACAGCCAAGAGAGTATGTTACTGAATCTACTTGGATGCTTTAGACGAAAAATGGCAAAAATCTCAATAAGAACCAATAACCAGAACACCATACTGTCGATTAAACAAATGAAAACAAGTTATCCTTTTCAAAACTATGCAACTGAAACATCGAGTGGCAGTAAGAGATCAAAATTTTTGTTGAAGGCTTTGATGAATCACAACTGTCAGCTACCAAATCTCTAAGTTTTTCACAATTGTTAGACCACCAAATCTCTTTATAAAGTTTAATTTCCTTTCAATTGTTAATACATTACAAAGTTTCTCTTTTCACAATGGTCACAAAATGATGATTATATTTTAGTTTATGTACGAATATTAGATTAGATAAGCGTTTGTACATGTTCTAATTTTCGTACATAAATTAAAGTAACATTAATATAATTTTTATACATGAAAGATGATTCATTAACCAATAGTATTCATCATGACAATTCACAGTTGAGTTATGCATGGAATAAGTTTCTTTTAAATTTAAATTTACATCTTTAAAATTATAATATTAATCCTAAATAGTATTAGCAAGATTAATCTTTTGATTGCTAAAGTTGAAAACACTTCATATCATTCATTCCATGTCATAATTAAAGTTAAAGTTCGACAAATGAGTGAAGATCAACTCTTAAACCAGAAACATCAAAGACAAAGGAGTGGTCAGCCATCTCCCACTACAACCTTAATTATCCCATAATAACCCATCTCAATAAAATACAAAACATTCAAAAAAAAAAAAAAAAAAAAAAAAAAA